AGAGAGAGAGAGAGAGAGAGCTTTCAATGGTAGTGGCAGAAAAGTCCACTAACCACAGGAGCCCATTCGCGCATGATGGCCTCTTCAGTCTGATCGATATCACCTCCACTGTCATCCTCTTCGCCTTCCTCCATGTGCTCCACATCTTGGTGTGTGTTGTCGTCATCAATTATCTCACCTTCCTCCTGTTCCGACTCCTCCGCCTCCTTATTATCACCTAAGACAACCTCTCCGGAAGGTGGCTGCGTGGGTGGAATTTCTTCAAGACTTACTGGCAGATTGATCGTAGGATCCCCAATGGGTTCGTCTGAGGGTCTTAAAGCAAGGCATTACTAAGAAAAGCGATATTAATGCCATACACCGCAGAGATTGAGCATGATTAAATAGTATCAACTTCAACCACATCGACACACTATCTTTAGCTGCAACCTATCTGAACAAATTGGCGAGAGTGGCTACAACCAGGTAATCCCATTACCGCGGACAAAATGGCTCATGCAATGACATTCAGGTAGTCACCAAAAATACTACAGGACTGAAATCCAACATAAACTTACTCGACCTCATTAGGGAAATCTTCCACTACAGAGTTATCGGCTTCTGCTGGAATACTTTCAATATCCATATCCGTCGGAGATGGAGGGAGGGAGGCGGATGTAAAGATGTCACCTTTTGTCTCCACTGCAGTCTTCCCTTGTAATTGAGATTGAGCATTTTGCTCAATGAAGGAATCAAAGACATCAAATGCATCCATCATGCATTCTGTGTCGGATCTAAAAAAAACAGACCCATTTTTTCACCTATGCTCACAACTTAGTTGTCCTACATCAGTGCACCCACCACAATCTGATTTTCGCACAACAGTAACTTAGGTAGGACTGGCCACTCGACTTTGCCTTAATTTTCACTATCTTATGGTCGCTTAGACATTCGTGTTATCTTGTTATTATGGCCAGGTTTGTCTTGCATAACTGAATCAAATGCTTTACCAATTGGTATGTCAACGGGAGGTAATGGCAGATGGTGCAGACGGAGGCTTAACAGTCAGAGCACAAGCAACAATGAAAACGTACTGTGATATTTCCTCCATTTCTTCGTCAGAACGAGAAAGCTGGGCCAAGAAGTTATCCTCCAAATGTGGACTCACGTCTGGTGCAACCGATGTGATGTAGAAATTGCAAAAACACCCGAGCGAGCGTTCCACGAGTGCCTGCAACTCCTCACGACTAAACGGCTCATCAATTTTTATTATTTTAGAAAGACCTAAAAAGCAACGATAAGGTGTCAAATTTCTGTAGCATGAAAGGCTATCGACCAAGATGAACAGAAGAAAATTTACCCGTGGTTTCCTGTGATAGAGCTATGAGTAACTCGGAAATGCTTTCGGCAAGATTTTGAAGACGTTTGTAAACCTTTTCATGGATAATACTGGAGGCCACCATTGAACCCAGGTTTTCAAACCGTTTGAAAAACTGGTCAGCTGAAGTAAAATAACATGAGCAAGAAATAAGATCAAGTAGAAGTAATAGCAGGGTAGTACAAATGGAAGGCTAACCGTCATTACAAAGGGTAGGGGATCCAACGTCAACGTTTGCTCCAACTTGGTGGCTACTTTGCTTAAGTCGCAGGGTAAGCTGAAGGCGAATGCGCATGAGGTCCTGTTCCAGACAGGCAAGTTCAGGATGCCGAATTTCGGAGAGACGCCGAGTGAGGGCATGAGCGACTTGGGCGAGAGAGAAAAGACGCGAAAGACGCCTCCGAAGGCGAGCACACCTTGCCGCCGCTGTGTATGTCGTCGATTCACCCTCGCCAACATTTCGACGCGCGGCCCTCATTACGTCACATGTCCAGGAGCGAAGCCTGCCTGAAGTGACCAAGGAGACATTATTATGATGGAGGACAAACAGACATTTCAATAACAATAAAAATGCGCACCAATGTTGCCTAGGTGGTTTAAAATGAAGCCGCATCTTTGAATTTTACATTCATGACTCCTTGCATAATTCAGTGCACTGCATTATATCGTAGAATGATCTGATCTCAAAAACCAAGTAGTGCTGTTAGCTCTTTGACATTGAGAACCGGCGCAACCTGAACACCAATATGAAAGCATTATCACACACCTAGAAATGAATGTATCTGCAAGGATATACTAATTACTGCGCAATTAAAATCCAGAAAGGACCTTAGCGTTAGCTGAAATCATTCTGACTGCACATGCTAACAACTTAAATATGCATAGCGCAGGCAATGCGAATGACAAAACTCGAACGATCAAGTCTGCATGAGAAAGGGTACTTAAACGTACCTAGTGGAATGCTTTGAAGAGACTCATGATACCGAAATTGAATGATACGATTAATTGTGGCGTCTTGGATAGCTTGGAGACTTTCCGTGAAACGTTCAAGGTCTTGCTCAGCATTGTTAGTATCATTAAGAGTCACTGAAATTGGATAAACATACTGATCTTACCTTGAAGCAACTGTTTCGAAGTCTCCAAGTTAATTCGTTCAATAATGTCGGAAACTGCTGTATTCGATGGATGCATAGCACTCTCCTCGAGCCGAGAAATGCAGGTGAAGGACTCCCAATTTTTAGGATCAGAATAAAATTCAGCAACGTCACTGCATTTGTCTGTAAGTTCATGCAGTGGCGAAGAACCCGGACCTACTGAGCAATGGAAAAGAAAGAAATAACTGCACAATTGCAGACGAGACCCCGTGGTGAGATTTTAATCCTACATTATATGACAAATGGCTAAGAAGGAATAATAAGAGGATTCCCCGAGAAAGAAGTAGAATAATCAACAACATTGATGTTGGACAAGAAGAATACATAATACACAATCAAAACCTTGAAATGGAATCAAGCTTTAACGACAACCCAACAATAACAAATCTGAGAATCCTAGTGCGTGTTTCATAAAGGCACAAAGTTTGAAGAAAAGCCAGCCTAGAAGCAGATACTTACCACTGCTTTTTGTTGTGTTAAAATCGCTTATGATACTTGCCGCATAATTCTCCACTAATCGCTGGAACCCCAGCAACACATCACCACCACCACCACCACCACCACCAAGCATAGGAAGCGGGTAAAGTTTGAAAGTAGGCACGTGAGAAGGACCACGTTAAAATGTACGGATAATAAAAAATTTATAAAATAAGGGTGGTTTACAGGATAAGCTAATGAATTTTAATGAAAAAGTTCAAGTGGTTAATCAGCATTTAAAAAAGGAATTAGATATAAAGCAAATAATCGTAGTGACAAGTAATTAAGGGAATATATTCCCTTAAGATGTTTGAACTTTAGCTGCAATATTAGATTAGCAGTTTTATGTGTGTCTTCACAAAAATTCTTACTAGACGGAGGTAGAGACCAAGTTCGGGTGAATATGAAAATAAGTTCATGGCTTGGTCCGAAGGCTATCCTAAACGTACTAGAGCCAGAAAAATGCCAAGATAATCGCCAGATGTTAGGCTCAAGTTAATAAAGTAGTACAGCATTAAACATTAGAATGTTAGCTGCCGTGGGCCTTCTCAACTACTTCCTCACGAAAGTGACTGTAGGAGTGTGGAGTCCGACGGTGCCTCACACGGAATTTGCGTTCCTAAATTCAGAACACATTTTTAACGAATAATATGCACCACTCATTTTCTTGTTAGACCACTGCCCTCTGTTCTATCCTTGAGGGTTCCTACTAGGTGAAGAAGACATTAATACGATTCTTTTGCAGTACTATTTCTGCCCTACTTGCGCCTTTTGCAGAAATTTCTTTACCGTACCAACCACTCTCTCTATGCTGTACCTTCAGGCGCAAGACGATCTTGAAAACACTATCTTTCAACACTTCTTTCGCGTCCGGAGACATCGCACAGGATAGAAGGCAGCAAGTGGAACTGAATACGTACTTTCCAGGGTGACATTAGGGGGTCACATTTGCAAAGTATTACAGCTTTCTTGATGGATAAGGTGATAATGGAAGGAACACTTATTTTGAGATCCATTTAGGACATTGAATAAAGGGAACTATTGAAGTTCTCAGTCTTTACGTTGCACACCTTTGGTAGAAGCCCCTAGAAATTTTATCAGCACGTCGTCCATTATACCTGC